TGGGAAATATATCACCACAAAGCTACTCTGGATCACTAGATTGGAGTGGAGAACAATGGGAAGTTATATTTCACCAACCTAGCTAAAGGGAAAAGCAGCCTACCCACCGCTTCCTTGTAATCATTGCTCTGCTTTAGAATCAATTCCTTCACCACTCTTTATTTTTCCACTATCATTTGTTCCAAATTGTATTTTTCAGTTCTTTTTTTTTAAATCTCTATTTACTAGTTCTTCTTTCTTTCTCAATATCTGTCTTTTCAGCAGAGAAGGAAGGAGAGTGACTAACTATACCAGTGGTGTTCTTTCTGGGTGATATCCTCTTTCTGCAAAGCTAATGTGTACACACCAGAGGAAAGTAAACACAAAGGCATACATACACAACTTATGAAATAACAAGTAGGGGGTAGAACAGAAATTAACTTGAGAGATCAAGATCTGTTCCAGAATAAATTAATGATTATTAGATGAAACAAAATGATAAGAGATTAGTTTTACAAGCAAGCGGCAGATAACAGACATAACACTGTTTTAATTATCGGAATTTATATTTCAAAATACAAGACCTTCACAATATACCTTCTGGCCGAATCACTCCTATGATGATAAAATCCTTTCTAAAACACATTATCAAGCAACCCCAAACAGTATATTTGTGTCCTTCAGTAAAAGGAAATGCTATCAATAGAGCATGGTTCCCCCAAAAAACTTTTTTTACACCTTTGTGAGAAAGATCTACAGTAGACTGGGTTAATGACCATATATTCATTTGGGTCATAAAGAAGAGACTCAGACAATCTTTCTTTTCCATGAAAGCATATCTTACTCTCTTCTTCTGAATTCTGGACTACACACACCCCTATGCATACCAGACAATTTTCCAAGGATAAGAAAGTCTGTGATAATAACAAATGAAACCAAACTCATCTTCTACTTTAGCAGATATACTACTCTTTTCTCTAGCTGAAACTGAAAGGGAAAAAAAAGAGGTAGTCATGCTTCATCTTGGAGATACAGCCTAAGAGCTACTTCTTAGCAGCAACATAAAAGTCTTAGACAAGAGTGCCCTGCTTTAGAGTAATCACCAGTGAGTCACTAGAGGACCTGGATTATCAGAATGCTTATTTTCTTCTGGAAATAGTGGGTAAGTGAATCACCTCTAAAAAAATAAAGTGTCATTAAATTTACTAAGAACAGAAAGTCTTTCAGTCCCAGTTATTTATTATACTAGAAAATGTGAAGCAGATACTGTTCTAAAAAGTGAAAAATCACACACACACACACACACACACACACACACACACACATACACATACACACACACACGCACTGTATCTTCTTGCAAAACTCTTGGGGAAAATTATGGTAACTGAAGAGCAATAACAAAAACAACCCAAGTACAATAATAACAAAAAATGTACAATTTGGTCCTTGCTCATTAGTATTGCAAATAGTCATCTTCAAAGGGTTAAAATTAAAAATAAAAGCGTGTGAAAAACTATGAGAATATGTTTTGGGATGTGAGAGACATACTGTGTTGATTTTCATGATAACTATTTTATGCTTGACAGGGAATTCTTTGCTGAGACATCTGATTCAAATTTCTAGCTTCCTGTTTGACTGACAATGTACGAGCGAGGATGACTGACAGCTATAAAGCTGACAAGGGGTTTCATTGGAGGGACTTTCTCCTAGCAAAAAGAGCAAAGGATCGGTAACTAGCCAAATGTCAGGGCTAGAGAAGCCTTCTATTATGCTTTTACTGCACAGCACTGGAATAACACCATTTGCTGCAACACCACCTAACTGCTGCACAGCACAGGCTAGCAGAGCAGGTTTATCAGTTTACCACAGACCACTGCCGTGGGTCACCAGACCACTGCGCCTGGGTGGGAAGGAAGGTAACCACAGAGCTCTGACCTCTTTTGGCTAGTGCAACCCACAGTGACTCCAGACCTCTGGTGACCTGGACGTTGAACCCAGGTTGCTGCGGACCCTCACTGTGGTTATTTTACCTGATTGCTGCTGCCCCTGGTGGGCACAACCAATAGGTTGCAGGAACAAGGCGATAGTGACACACACTTTTAGTCCCAACACTAGGGAGGCAGAGGTGGGCGAATCTCTGTGAGTTCAAGGCCAGCCTGGTGTACAGACAGAGTTCCAGAATAGGCTACAAAGCTACAGAGAAACCCTGTCTCTTGGGCTGGAGAAATGGCTCAGCAGTTAAGAGCACTGATTGTTCTACCAGAGGTCTTGAGTTCAATTCCCAGCAACCACATGGTGGCTTACAACCATCTGTAATAAGATCTGGTGCCAACTTCTGGCCTGCAGGGACACATGCAGGCAGAACGTTGTAAACATAATAAATAAAAAATAAATAAAAATAAAAAAAAAGAAAAAAAGAAACCCTGTCTCAAAAAAAAAAAAAAAAAAAACCCGCAGGAGCCCCTACAGAGCAATTCAAACCACAAAATATTCCCTCTCCAAACAACTGATGAGACGACCATGGAGGCCATGGCACACAAAAAGGTGCAGTTGGAAATAATACGCCTTACAGAGGTCAGTCAATAAGCTGGGTTGGGGGTGCTTTGAGAACTAGCCTAAGAACAAAAACAGAAGTGACACTGGGCCTATGTGTGTGGCCTTGTGTTGGGAATCTGAAATACACTTTAACCCTCAGTCAATCTCCTTAAGTAATCTAAATAACGATTTGGAGAAATCGCCTAGACCATCTAAGATTCCCACCCTGTTACCAGCTCCTGCACAGCCACATGAGTCCTTTCCTTGGCCGTGAGTACTAAGGAAAAGATGTGCCCGCCGGCAGTATAGAAGGCTGTCCCTTGCCTCGTTCCAATGTTGGGGAAATGGGGGGTGATAGGAACTACTGCCTTGAACACTACAGCTCTAATGTGGGAGAAAGAGCCTACAACAGATCATTTATCAACTAGATAGACACCAAACACCTTCAGTTACACTCCATGCCCAGAGAGAGTCCCTGACAGAAATAGTCTCCCAAAACGGGCAAGGCTTACACTTACTTTTCATGTTCCAGGGAAGACTGTGTGATGGTAAGAGAGACTTTCTGCCTTTGCGCTGACAAATCAAAAATTATCATGAAAAAAAAATTATAAAAATAGCTTAGATCAAAAGCATAAAGGAAATAACTTCTGATTCCATAAAATCTCTGATTAAAAGCCATGGCTCACAACTTTTCACTGTCCTGGATGTTCCCTTACTCACCCTTTTTATAAGACTTGCTATAGGGCCTAATATAATAAATTGTCTTTTAAGTTCATCAGACAAAAAACTTGCCTTTGTTGGACTCATAATCATCGGGAACCAGTAGTTACCCTTTATCCAAGTTAAAAAATTTAAAAATCACTCTTCCAAATGGGGGAATGAAATGACTAAGGTAATGCCATCATGTTCTGATTCCATTTTCTGTTTGCTTAGACAGTTCTCAGCCCTTTACCCCCTCCTCACAATGGTCATGTCTGCCTTGGCAACACGTGAGACTTCCATGGCCCTGACCAAAGTCCAGATGTATTAACCAAAATAACTGGAAAGTTATGTCTGAATAACTACTATACTCTGCCAGAAATAAATGTTTCAAGGTTCCTGACCCTCATCTAACTTTGATGTATCTTTCTGGGTTTTGCCTTTAATGGCCCTGTATTCCTGAACTTGGGCACCACAAAACTTTTCAGAGTCACAACTCACTCTTGGTTTGGCCATCAAAAAAGGACTTAGAACTTTTATCAGTATGGCTGTCAATAACTATCTTGTGTGGATCATTATTACAGTTGGTCAAGGACACTCCCTTAGCAACGAGAGCAAGCAGGCATGCCCTACCTGTGCCTACAGACCACATCCTACCTCACACAAAATTGTAAACTTATTTAAACATACTAATTTTGTTTTGTTTTTGTAATTTGATTGTGATTCTCCAGGATAAACTTAGTCTGTTGTATTATCAAAAGGCTGGTTGGACATGCCTGGTAGAAATGAATTGGGAATGGGCAAGGGCACCTTAGGAATTGCAGAAAGAGCCGATAAAGGGAGGATGGGGAGATAAAGTAAGATAGTCCAGAGGGGAGGATTCCTGGGTAAGAGGAGAGGAAGCTGGAAAAGCAGAGGCTAGGAGGTGGTGCTACCTAGAAGTGTAACCTGACCCCTGAGAGCTGATAATGGACTGTAAGTACCATAGCAGCATGGAGAAAATGGATTCCATCAGAAGAATGGAGGGAGTGGAGTCCAGTTAGGAGAGTGGTCCATAATTCAAGGGAAAGTATGAGGTCGCAAACCGCAGAAACGCAGTAAGAGTGGGAACTAAAGAACAACACTAAACCAACTGAAAATCAACTTCATACTCATTGAATTACTGACACTCTTATCTCCTTCGGGACTAACAGGGTCATTATACACTGAAAGACTACAGTGCATAAGTACTTGTAAACTAATGTTGAAACCTAAGAGTCAGCAGCTGGCTTGCTTCCTCTACCCCGATTTGTACATAAAAGCACTTTTTCTCATAAAACCCCAAAGAAACTTGTTATTCGACGGGGAGTAAAAACACTATGTCTAACTCCACGTCCAATACAGAGCTTGGGACGTCTCATCTCGGCCTGTTTTGCTCCCCAATAATTTTTGAAGGAAGTTCTACGTTCGGGTCCTTGAGCCCCGCCCTACGTACTAAGACAAATGCCAGATTATTTTTCTCTCAGTGAAGCGGCTAGTTGCTCAGGCCTTTTCATCACACAGCGGATTAAGGGGCTAAAGCCCACCCAGGTAGCAGTTCACTGCAGGGGATTAAGGACCCTGCTAGGCAGGTGTGTTGTGACTGCAACTCTTAAAAGATCCCGATTCTCACAGTCGCGTCTCGAGGCCGCCACTTGCTGAGTGGCTCCCTCCAGGAGTTACAATGTACGACCCTTCTACAATTATGGGAATGTTGTGGGCTCAGAGCGAGCAAGGGGTGGAAAACTAAGTTTCTTTTCACTTACCCTAAAAGCCGCCATACCTATGACCCTCTCGGCTCCTTTTTTTTTTTTTTTTTTTTTTTTTTTTTAAATCGGACGGAGAGCGAAGAGGGACAAAGGAGTTCAGTTTGACTTGCGTCACCACAGCCCCTCCCCTTTACGCTACTAGCCCGCTGGCTCCTGCCCTTTCTCCGCCCTCCAGCAGCTGCTTTGTCAGCCAGGCTGCCAAAGTTAACTAGTAACACTTCTCTGGAGAAAGGGACTTCTTTTGATTGACACTCCAGTCCTCCATAGATAGAACCTCTCAGAATAGTCTCCCCACTCCGATTAGAAGTTTTTCTTCTTGGGTGAAGGACTTTTTTGTTTATGTGATTTTTCTGGATAAGAACTTAAAACTCAAGTTCAACTGCCTTAATAAACAACTATATAGTTACAAGAGCACTTCGCCTTTGCCATCCTTGGGGCAGTTACATTCATTCTAAACCTGTCACTGAGCACCAATAGGCAGTTAATGAGAGTAACTATAAAACCTAGTGGCATATGGATGGTAGAGACCAGGAGAAAACGACAAATATTAGAAAGGCCTGAATGCTGTTCAAGAAAATAGAATATGGATTAGCAAGATGGTTCAGTGTGTAAAAGGTACCTGCTGCCAAGCCTGATGACCTGAATTTGGCTGAGACACACACACACACACACAAATGTATTATAAGGTTAAAAAATAGAAGGTATCTGTTGAGACGGAATGGAGTTTCCTGGTTCACATAGATTGATGACGCGGAGAAGGTGCAAAAGTAGTATGAGTGAATGGGGGCTTTGTGTGCCACTATAATAAATTTGGGTTTTTATTGCTTGTTTTGCTTTATTCTGGTTTGTTTGTTTTTTATTTGCCTGTTTGTTAGCTAAAGAGAGAGAAAGGCTGTGGGATGGAGGATATTATATGAATTTTTTAATTTAAAAATAAACATCTGGAAAGTAGTTGAAGGGGTTTTAGCTCATGGTGTGACTTGATCTGAAACACATTATAAAATGGTGATTCGGGAGCCCTCAGGAGAATATGCTGTAAGAAAGTATATCATTCTCTATTTGGGCACAGACTCCTGAGGCCTCTGCCAGTAATTCCAAGAAAAAGAGTGTTCATAATTTGCCCACTAACTTCTTAATAATAGTTAATTGTACTCATTCATTCTTTCAACAAATATTTCTGGAGTGTAAATTATATACTTGGAATTAATGGCATATTAAACATATTTGATACTTGAAGCAGATTCTTTTTATTGAGTATGCAATCAAATTATATTGTTAATGATTAAATAAAACAAATAACAATAGTCATGATTAAAAGACTGAAATTTTTATTATGTTCTTACACTTAAAGTATAGCATAATAAATTTTAATATTTTATTAAATATAAAAATATAAATATTTT